CCCGGGATTTTATAAATGTAGGGGCAGTTCTTAATGTGAAGTCAACATTACTTGTGGTGATAGTAGAATAATAGCAGAAATAATAGTAGCAGTCATGAGAGCAATAATGTGCATTCTTGATATTGTATAGCTTATTATGCTAGTAATGATGGTAGGAATACAGATGCAATCGTTAAATTCTCTCCACGCAGCTCGCCAAGGTTTGAACGTGATCGCCCGTGGTTTCGTGCACCTGGATGCCAGCAGCGAGCCTGTTCAGGCCCATTCATTTCCGCTGAAGATATGATATAGGCGAGTAGTATAGGGGTTATTAAGGGGGATACTCGGAGTTTTGACCATAGCTCATAATGGGTTTAGGGTTTAGACTTCCAGGTGTTGGGCTGGGCTTATTGATGCAGTTTGCTGGGCTTCGAAGGCCTGCCTGGCTTCCATGACAGACTATGTGCTGCGCAGCGCACGGCGTTCTCCTGCACGCACCCCGGCTCCGCGCTGGGTGTTGGCTAGGAAGATCCGGAGAGAACCTGCTGAGGCTTGGATGCGCACTGACGGCGATATCGCAGTCTTTGCCACGATTGTGGCTGAGGACCGTTTGGAAACGTGCTGAAGGCAGTTGGGTATTGGGCTTTGTTTCGTTCGACTCACAGGCTGTCACCAAAGGATGGCCCCGAGGGCCTGAACTTCTGGAAGCCCTAGAGGCGGTGCACAACACAACTTTCTGGTGTTCAATATATTTCATGGAGTGTATTGCATTTAAACCCCTCCAGGATGGTCATGCATCTTGATTGGGAGAATGTGTAGTGTAGCCCTTGCAACAGAAAGGCTGATTGTGAACTTGTGAACCTTGCTCAAAGGCTGAGATGAGGCTAGTACGCCGGGGAGCTAGGCGGAAGGAGCGGGAAGCTAAGGGCTGTCTCGCAAGTTTGCTGCATTCACTTCGACCATCACAACAGAGGCTGTCGCAGCTTGAAGAAGCCCTGGAACGCGCCAAGAGGACCCCGTATTGCGCCGGAGTTGACAACGCTCTTCAATCTGTTAATACGCTCCGTCTCAGCGTGCAATCCTGAAACAGATCGAAGAGAACCCGTATAATGCTTTCCGGTGAGCAGGTCGTCAGTCTAAACGGCGGTGAGCAGCAAAAGTACATTGCCACGTGCCGGCAAAGCCCCGAACGGTCACCAACAGTGCGTCAAAACACCTTGGCAGGGACGGTGAGGGAGGCAAGAGGTTGGTATCAACATCACATCGCCCGTACTCAAACAAAGCAAATCGTGAGATGCAAATGGCACCTAGCCGCAGCATGGCGGAGCATACGAGACGACACTTGTATCACCAGCCGCCAGGACGCTGTGAAGAGCATCATTGGTTACGACATCCTTGCCATGAGCCAGCGCGGAAAACGTATCTTGTAGCACGTTGCTTGGAACTTGCGCTGCCCTGCACAGCCTGATCGAACTTCTATGGCTCGCTTCGGCTCATGAGACTCCCTTCGCATGCAAAAACGCCAAGCCTGAAAAATAAACTAGATACACATGCCATAGGGCGAAGAGCCGTTTATTGCCTGAGAGAGACAAGCTGACAAGTACCAACATGCGACCGCTAAGCTGCGCTGTGAGCTAATGCTAGCAGACCTACAAGATGGGGTTTCCCCAAATTACTTTATGTTGGGGGTCCATATAATGAGGATTATCGTGTATTTAGATTTATAGTAGGGTCCCCGCATTTTGGGAAACTAGCAGATGGGTCAGCAAGCTGCTCACGAGGCTTGGTGCTTGGTGTCGGTAGGAACCGGTACAGGAAAACCACTGAGGGCCCTTCAAGGCTTGGGATAAAAAACTTAGCAGCTGCCTTTTCAGGAGGGCAAGTAAGAAGACGAGGTGTTGCGCAGAAACTGCTGAACTTCTGCTAGATCCGAGAAGCTAAACCCTAAACCCTAAACTGAATGTTAGTTGTATCCGGTCATGGAGGCATGGCCCTGGTGGAACAGCAGCCCTTCGCAAACCCGGAGTCAGCATGCTAGCCCAATAATGGAGAATCAAATGGAAAAGAACATGGAAAATGAAATGGAAACTGGGGTTATATGGGGGTTATATTGGGGATATAGACCTATCCTATGATCTATAGGATCAATGGGGGATATGGGGGTTTCTCAGAATGAGGGTTACCTTTTTGATCCTTTTTGGGGGTCCCCAGAATAAGGACTATAGTATATTGGGGTCTATATTGGGGTCCCCCTATTTGGGGAAACTACCATATGAAGGGCCTGGTGATCATGCCTCCAGATATCTACTGCTCATTGCACGACTTGAGGCTTGAGATCTTGCTCAACAGCTCAGAACACAGTGTACGATTTGTGTACTGGGTTGGTTGATCATGGATTCATCTACCACTTGATGAGCACCACTTGTCATTCCCCGTTTCGACTGTGATGTGATACCGCCGTGCTTGAAAAGGTTGGCTAGGGCTTCGGGTTGACGAGACTACCTAGCCACAGAGCAGTAGTTAGTTGGCAGCTATGACGATTCATCCCCTTGGTTTGTGGCACGTGAAGAACATCTCATCTGACAGCCCGCCGATGCAAAGTTACAACTTCTTCAGGCAGAGATCTCGACAGTCGACAGGCTGGAAGTCGGCCAAGGGTTTCCTATGCTTGAACTTGAATAGAGTCAACATGAGTCAACTATTTTGGTGCGTAGCACATGGAAAAAGGTAGCAGCCACGTTTGCAAGGAAGGTTGCCAAGTATCCGAAGCACGGTCGTTTGCTATGTGCTGGCTGGACAGATGCGGGCTTTCCGAAGAAGAGTACGGGCGATTGAAGAAGAGGCTTCGGGTGACCGATGAGTCTTGAACTTGGTCAAAACTTAACAAAACTCCAGTCGTTTGGCCGCCCCTAAGTAAGGAAAGCTTGCAGAGTGGAGCTTGCAGATTTCGCGCGCCTCTCAGAGAAACAAGTTCAAGCGGCCACCAGCATGGGATCTAGATTCAGCATGATCCAGTAATGTTCATCATGCATTTGCAACAAGGTGGCCTGCTTTCCAAGCCATTTGCGTGTGGAGCCTGGAAAGACCTTGGCAGACCGACGCTGCATGGACAGCTCGCACAGCACAAGGCCCATTTGTGCAGCCGATCTTCTTCTACGTCAGCAAGGACATCCCCTGCCATCTGCTGCAAATTGTTTGCTCAATCTTGTTAGCGCGTCGCAGAGACCTGCAGCGCACTTTGTGGAGGAGCGCGTTGGCGAGGGATCTGCCGCGTGGAGACTTGCCTTGAATACGAAATGAGGCAGAAGCCATTGGGCGACCATTCTGTGGTCAGGAAGCCTTTGGCCAGCGGTCTTGCAGAAGCCATGAAAGACACAGGCTTGGGCTGGTTCGGCCCCCAGTATTTCTTGTTTTCCCGCGGTTGAGTGGGGGGAGTGGTTCTAGCAAGTGTTCTTCACTTTGCGGACCTCGTGTCAGGAGTCAGCTGCTTCAGGCCTCATTGCTTTGGCATCATGTGAGCTATAGTTAAACTGAACTCCTTCAAGGGGCTTGTATAGGGGACTATATAGAGGACTACTATAACAGGAGTTATTAAGGTGGATACTGGCAGTTTAGACTGTAGCTCATGTGGTACTTGTAGGTGTCCTAAACCCTAAACCCTGCTGTGAATGCTGGAATTTGATCCTGGCCGGCAGGTTTGGCGAGAAACGCACCTGCCGCAGGAGACGCTGAAAGTTGTAGGTTTAGGATTTAGGGGTTTAGGGTTTAGGGATGTCAACATGCGCTATAGTCTAAACTCCTAGCATCCCCAATAAGAAGCCCCTATTGAATGAAGCCCCTATATAAGCCCTCCTTAAGGAGTTTAGACTATAGCTCATATTAGGGCTTAATCCCCATAAAGTAACCCATAATCCCAGTTTCCATGTAATTTTCTATGTTCTTTTCAATTTGATTCTCCACTATTTGGGGTAATATCCCTAAACTCCAAACCTCATATAACCCCCTTTATAAACCCTATATACTCCCTTATAGAATCCCCCTTAAGGCCTTTAGACTGTAGCTCACATGGCTTCTCGACCATGCGCTTCCACTTTGGTAAGCCCAACCTTGCAAGTCAGGACTCCGAGCCAGATGCTTCTGGTATCTTGGCCTAGGTAACTCAGTTGTACCCTTTTGCACTTTTTATATTGGGGTCTCCTTATTAAAGCTGAACAGCAGGAAAAAGGGTACCCTTTTTATTAATGGGTGACTGGGGAACCTAGTGGCAGGGCGTTAATAAACAGATTCTTGGGTCTAGGATTTCGGGTTTAGTGTCTATTGTTTCTTGCCCGAAAGGGAGAAGAGATGAGCACGATGGTAATAGATGTGGGCTGCAGGTACTTCCGAGCACGAGTTCGAGGCCAAGGTTTTGCTTCATGGGGGCTAGGAGTAGTAGAGGCTACAGCCCAAACAGATCTCAATGTCTGGGCCGTCATTCTAACATGACTGGAAAGCACGGAGCAGCTTCGTGGTTTTAATGAGGCTGGGCCTGTTCCTCGAGCTGGCCCTCACACTGCAAAGCTGCCAGAAGTTGTGGGAGAGAGTGAAAGCCTTGGAAAAAGTGAGACCTCACATGGGGTTGTGTGTTTGTGCGGGAGCATGACTGTTTGATGAGTGTAGAAGGCCAAAAGAAAGCATGGGCCTGTGAATTGTTTGGACAACTTGCCAGGTGCTTTTGGTCGGCCTTCTCAGACCACTCGCCAAATCCAGCTCAGCAGGCACGCAAATTTACCACCTCGAAGGAGAGAGAGAGAGAGATAGAAAAGGGGCACTGATGCATTGTTTCTGTTGGC